TAAGAAACAAAATTTGCAATTCATATAACAAATAAAAGGTTAATCTCTTTAATTTACAAAGAGCTCCTAAATGTCAATTTTTAGAAGACCAATAACACAAGATATGAAAGACAATTCATGGAGAAACACAAATTAAAAGTGTAGTATAGGCCGGGCATGGTGGCTCATGCCTGTAATCCCAGCACTTTGGGAGACCAAGGGAAGCAGATCACCTGAGGTCAGGAGTTCGAGACCAGCCTGACCAACATGGCAAAACCCCGCCTCTACTAAAAGTACAAAAATTAGTCAGGCCTGGTGGTGGTGCCTGTAAGCCCAGCTACTCAGGAGGCTGAGGCAGGAGAATCACTTGAACCTGGGAGACAGAGGTCGCAGCGTGCTGAGATCGCCCCACTGTGCTCCAACCTGGACGACAAGAACAAGATTCAGTCTCAAAAAAAACAAAAAACAAAAAAAACCCAAAAACGTGCAGTATACTCTCACATCAATATATTTTCTTGAGTCACAGTTTCATTCTTATTGCCCAGGCTGGAGGACAATGGCACAGTCTTGGCTCACTACAACCTCTGCCTGCCGGGTTCAAGCGATTCTCCTGCCTCAACCTCCCAAGTATCTGGGATTACAGGCACCCACCACCAAGACTGGCTAATTTCACATCAATATTTTCACCCATGAGATTGGTTTAAAAAAAAAAAAGGAGGCCGGGCGCGGTGGCTCAAGCCTGTAATCCCAGCACTTTGGGAGGCCGAGGCGGGCAGATCACGAGGTCAGGAGATCAAGACCATCCTGGCTAACCCGGTGAAACCCTGTCTCTACTAAAAAATACAAAAAAACTAGCCGGGCGAGGTGGCGGGCGCCTGTAGTCCCAGCTGCTCGGGAGGCTGAGGCAGGAGAATGGCGTGAACCCGGGAGGCAGAGCTTGCAGTGAGCTGAGATCTGGCCACTGCACTCCAGCCTGGGCGACAGAGCGAGACTCCGTCTAAAAAAAAAAAAAAAGGCAAATGTCTGCCAACACACTCAGTTGGCAGGTTGGGGACACACACTTTTTCTGTGGGAGTGAAGACTGGTATAACCCAACAGGAGGGTGATTTAACAATGTATATCAAAATGACAAATGAATTCACCCTATGACCCAGCTAGCTTCACTACAATTTGAGCTACAATTATATCTGCACCCATATGAAACAATGTACACGCAGTTATTGATTTTAGCATTATTTGTCACTGTAAACAATTGGAAACAATCATGCATTCACCTGTAGAGGACTGAGTAAATAAATATTGGCATACCCAGATATTAGAATACTGAGCAGCTGTAAAAGGGAAAATGCGGCCGGGCGCGGCGGCTCATGCCTGTAATCCCAGCACTTTGGGAGGCCAAGGCAGGTGGATCACAAGGTCAGGAGATCGAGACCATCTTGGCTAACACGGTGAAACCCCGTCTCTACTAAAAATACAAAAAATTAGCCAGGCGTGGTGGCGGGCGCCTGTAGTCCCAGCTACTCAGGAGGCCGAGGCAGGAGAATGAGTGATCCCAGGAGGCAAAGCTTGCAGTGAGCCAAGATCACACCACTGCACTCCAGCCTGGGCAACACAGCAAGACTCCGTCTCAAAAAAAAAAAAGGGGGGGGGGCGCAGAAATGCTCTAGGTACTAAAAAAAGCAAAGAAAAAATGTCCTAAGTACTGTACTGTAAAATGAAGATTAAGTAAAAGACAAAAGCAAAATGCAGGATAATATACATAATGTGCTATCTTTTGTGTATAAAAAAAAAGATTGGGAGAAAGAAGAATATAAATTCATATTCGCTGACATTTGCATAAATAACTTCTGAACACTCAAAAAACTATAATAAAAGTGGTACACTGAGATGAGAGAATGGGGCAATTGGCAAGGATGGAAGAGAGATTGGGCTGTATGCCCTTTTTATACTGTTCGTTGTTTTGTTTTTTTTTGAGACGGAGCTTCGCTCTCGTCACCCATACTGGAGTGCAGTGGCTCACTGCAACCTCCGCCTTCCGGGTTCAAGTGATTTTCCTGCCTAAGCCTCTGGAGTAGCTGGCACTACTGGAGCGTGCCACCACATCTGGCTAATTTTTTGTAGTTTTAGTAGAGACGGGGTTTCACCATGTTGGCCAGGCTGGTCTCGAACTCCTGACCTCAGGTGATCCACCTGCCTTGGCCTCACAGTGCTGGGATTACAGGCATGAGCCATGGCGCCCAGTCCTGTTTTGATTTTTGAATGAGAAATTTTAAATGTAACCCCCCAAAATTTAAAAATTGATCTTAAATTTGTATAAATAAATAAAATCACTAAGGAACCCAACCTAAGTTTAGAAGCACACAGGATACGAGGGTGCTTCTTTCTCAGATAATTTTTGGAACAATAAACTGCTCTCTAATTGTTTTCCTTAAGAAACTTTTCCCGCCGGGCGCGGTGGCTCAAGCCTGTAATCCCAGCACTTTGGGAGGCCGAGGCGGGTGGATCACGAGGTCAGGAGATCGAGACTATCCTGGCTAACATGGTGAAACCCCATCTCTACTAAAAATACAAAAAACTAGCCGGGCGTGGTGGTGGGCGCCTGTAGTCTCAGCTACTTGGGAGGCTGAGGCGGGAGAATGGCGTGAACCCGGGAGGCAGAGCTTGCAGTGAGCCGAGATCACGCCACTGCACTCCAGCCTGGGAGACACAGCGAGACTCCGTCTCAAAAAAAAAAAAAAAAAAAAAAAAAAAAAGAAACTTTTCCCAAGGAATCATGCTTCTCCATTTACATAAGAAATGATTCTTATTCTTCTTCTTCTTTTTTTTTTTTTTTTTTTTTTGAGACAGAGTTTCATTCTTGTTGCCTAGGCTAGAGTACAATGGTGCAACCTCTGCCTCCCAGGTTCAAGTGATTCTTGTGCCTCCACCTCCTGAGTAGCTGGGATTACAGGCACCCGCCACCACGTCCAGCTAATTTTTGTGTTTTTAGTAGAGACAGGGTTTCGCCAGGTTGACCGGGCTGGTCTTGAACTCTTGGCCTCAGGTGATCCACCCGCCTCAGTCTCCCAAAGTGCTGGGATTACAGGCATGAGCCACTGCACCGGCCAGAAATGATTTTTAAAGTAGCATAAGATTGTTTAAATATGAAAATATAAAGGATATAAAAGCTATCAGAAGAGGAAAAGCTACAGAAGAAATGCCTCTAAAGCATATGAAGCTAGCAGTGGCCAGAGCAGGAGGAAGAACCCTGGGAGACCAGATAGAGCTAACGTCTAATGTCTGACAAGAAGGTGTTAGTTATTTTTCAATAACTCTGGAAGAACAACAGAGAAACTACAGGACCAGGACAGAAAAGTTCTTTTCTATATTGTACTATTTAATATTAACATTAACACACTCCCCAGAGATTATATCTTTTTTTTTTTTTTTTTTTTTTTTTTTGAGACGGAGTCTCGCTCTGTCGCCCAGGCTGGAGTGCAGTGGCGCGATCTCGGCTCACTGCAAGCTCCGCCTCCCGGGTTCACGCCATTCTCCTGCCTCAGCCTCCCGAGTAGCTGGGACTACAGGCGCCCACAACCGCGCCCGGCTAATTTTTTGTATTTTTAGTAGAGACGGGGTTTCACCGTGGTCTCGATCTCCTGACCTTGTGATCCGCCCGCCTCGGCCTCCCAAAGTGCTGGGATTACAGGCGTGAGCCACCGTGCCCGGCTGGAGATTATATCTTGATAGACTGTATCAAGAACTAGTTACAAAGTGGCATGCTGGTTTCATTTGTTTGTAGACAAGATCTCCCTCTGTTGCCCAGGATGGAATGCAGTGGCATGATCACTCAGCCTTGAACCCCTGGCTCAAGTGATCCTCCAGCCTTAGCCTACAGAGTAGCTGGGACTACAGGTGTGCACCAATACATCTGGTTATTTTTTATTTTTTGTAGAGACAGGAGCTCTCTCCATTGTCCAGGCTGGTCTCGAACTCCTGGCCTCAAGAGATCCTCTCACCTCAGCCTCCCAAAGCACTGGGATTACAGGCATGAGCCACCGCACTTGGCCTATATGCTTTGTTAAGAAAGACATTTACAGCCAGGTGCAGTGGCTCACACCTGTAATCCTAGCACTTTGGGAGGCTGAGGCGAGCCTTGAGGTCAGGAGTTCGAGATCAGCCTGTCCAACATGGTGAAACTCTGTCTCTACTTTAAAATAAAAAAAAGAAAAGAAAAAAAAAAAAACCCGTGAAAATTAGCCAGGCATGGTGGCGCACGCCTGTAATTCCAGCCAAGATCGCACCACTGCACTCAAGCCTGGGTGACGGAGTGAGACTCTGTCTCAAAATAAAACAAAAACAAAAACAAAATAATTTAAAAAAAAAAAAAAAGGAAGACATTTACTAGTTAAAAATTTAAGGCTGGGCACGGTGGCTCACGCCTGTAATCCCAGCACTTTGGGAGGCTGAGGAGGGCAGATCATGAGGTCAGGAGATCGAGACCAGCCTGGCCAACATGGTGAAACTCCATCTCTACCAAAAACACAAAAAATTAGCCAAGCATGGTGGCGGCGCCTGTAGTCCCAGCTACTCGCGAGGCTGAGGCAAGAGAATGGCCCGAACCAGGAGGCAGAGCTTGCAGTGAGCCGAGATGGCGCCACTGCCCTCCAGCCTGCGCGACACAGCGAGACTTCATCTCAAAAAAAAAAAAAAAAGAAAAAAAGAAAAAAAAAAATTTTAAGTGGCCTTTTCAGAATCTCTGCAGTAAGATAACACACTTGATCAGTAAAGACCTGGGTGCATGGATCTTCAAAAATGAGTTTCTATCTATTAAGGACTTGTGATACATCACACCTTCAGTCATTGCCAAAAACATTCAGCCACAAAATCACTTCAGCCCACCCCTACCTGATTCATGACACCACAGTGGTAATACAGTGGGACTCTGGGATCCTATCCCCAGAGAACAAAGCCATGGAGCACTTTGCCACTCCCTGCAACTTCCATATTTAATCATCCTCCAATAAGTAAGATCAGCTCACCCTGCGTTTGTGCTTCAGGAGCCTCTTTCCGGGCGACGTTTTCTCGTAATTTTTCCTGAATTTCTTCTAGGTCTTGGAGAATATTTCTGATTCTCCCTGCAGCTGTGTCGGAAATCAACAGCTTTGGAGAAGTCATGGAAAGATCCACCCCAGAAGAAAAAACCTATTGATGAATCATTTAAAACTGAATAAATGGAAGTCCCCTATGCAGTCTATCAACTATTATATTCAAGTTCTTTTATTCATCTATAATTTTCTATGTAATTCCCAGCAAGTTTTTTTTTTTTTTTTTTTTTTGAGACGGAGTCTCGCTCTGTCGCCCAGGCTGGAGTGCAGTGGCGCGATCTCGGCTCACTGCAAGCTCCGCCTCCTGGGTTTACGCCATTCTCCTGCCTCAGCCTCCTGAGTAGCTGGGACTACAGGCGCCCGCCACCGCGCCCGGCTAATTTTTTGTATTTTTAGTAGAGACGGGGTTTCACCGTGGTCTCGATCTCCTGACCTTGTGATCCGCCCGCCTCGGCCTCCCAAAGTGCTGGGATTACAGGCGTGAGCCACCGCGCCCGGCCCAGCAAGTTTTTAAAAACAAAATTAGGCCCTCAAAAAATATGCCTTGAAAACAATCTGGAATAATACATAACTACAGCAAAAATATCAAAGAGTGGTTATTTCTGGGTGATGGGGTTATGGAGCATTTTAATTTGCTTTATTTAATGCTATGTGTTTTCTAATATTTTGCACAATAAACATGGATTTCTTAGGTAATACCAAAAAAGTTTTAACATTTTTAGGCACATCTTTTTTTTTTTTTTTTTTTTTTGAGAGACGGAATCTCGCTCTGTCACCCAGGCTGGAGTGCAGTGGCCGGATCTCAGCTCGCTGCAAGCTCCGCCTCCCAGGTTTACGCCATTCTCCTGCCTCAGCCTCCCAAGTAGCTGGGACTGCAGGCGCCCGCCACCTCGCCCGGCTAGTTTTTTATATTTTTTAGTAGAGACGGGGTTTCATCGTGTTAGCCAGGATGGTCTCGATCTCCTGACCTCATGATCCGCCCGTCTCGGCCTCCCAAAGTGCTGGGATTACAGGCTTGAGCCACTGCGCCCGGCCTTTAGGCACATCTTATAGGGGCTTTATAAAATAAATACTACAGATAGTTACTGAGATAAACCATGGAGGTCAGAATAACCTTTTCAGCTGGGTGTGGTGGCTCACACCTATAATCCCAGCTACATGGAGGGTGAGGCAGGAGAATCACTTGAATCTGGAAGGTAGAGGTTGTAGTGAGCTGAGAAGATCATGCCACTGCACTACAGCCTGAGCGACAGAGCGAGATTCCATTTCAAAAAAAAAAAAAAAAAGAACGTTTTCCCACCTCTATCATTATATCATGTCGCTTCCCAAGAGCTACCTCTCAAATTGCCTGCATCTAGGTCCTGCTTGCTGGGGCCTCCAACACATGCTCCCTGATTTTCTTTAGCCTCAGGTCCTGTTCTTCCCCAATACAGCCCTTTATCTGCTTACCAACTTCAACCCCTGACTTTCCTTCCCACCTTTGCATAATCCACTCCCCATTCTTTCCACCAATCAAAATATGGTAGTATTACACTTATTGAGTGTCTTCTACATGCTAGGTATTGCCCTTCTCTCATTTGCATAACAACCTCACAAAGTAGGTTTAGCAACCTGTAAAGAATCTCCATTTTACAAAAGAAGATAAAGTTCATGAAGGTTAACTAAATTGCCACAGTTAATTATAACAGCCCACATTTTAACATTGCTTAAGCACTTTTTTATACCTCTTTTAATCCTCACAATAAACCAATGATGTGGCAGGCCCTGTATCATTATTTCTATATTACAGATAGGAACCTGAGACGCAGATGGATGAAGTGACTTGCCCAAGGTCCTAATACTAGTGAATGACAATGTCAAGTCTGAAAGTCAGACTTTCCTTTTTTTTTTCTGAGACGGAGTTTCACTCTGTTTCCCAGGCTGGAGGGCAGTGGCGCGATCTCGGCTCACTGTAAACTCCGCTTCCCAGGTTCACGCCATTCTCCTGCCTCAGCCTCCTTAGTAGCTGGGACTACAGGTGCCCACCACCACGCCCAGCTAATTTTTTGTATTTTTAGTAGAGTCAGGGTTTCACCACATTAGCCAGGATGGTCTCAATCTCCTGACCTTGTGATTTGCCCGTCTCGGCCTCCCAAAGTGCTGGGATTACAGGCGTGAGCCACCACGCCCGGCCGGACTCTCAGACTTTCTATCCCAACACGTCACATCTCTGAAGATGCATTTATTTATACATTCAGTGGGTATTTGTTGAGCCCCTACTATAAGTGGGTACTTGGGTACTGTGCTAGTGCCTGGGGACACAATGGTGGACAAAAGAACAAAAGCATCAGCCAGGCGCAGTGGCGCACTCCTGTAATCCCAGCACTTTGAGAGGCTGAGGCAGGTGGATCACAAGATCGGGAGTTTGAGGCCAGCCTGGCCAATATGGTGAAACCCCATCTCTACTAAAAATACAAAAATTAGCCAGGCGTGGTGGCAGGCACCTGTAGTACAAGCTACTCAGGAGGCTGAGGCAAGAGAATCACTTGAAGCTGGGAGGCGGAGGTTGCAATGAGCTGAGATGGCACCACTGCACTCCAGCCTGGCAACAGAGCAAGACTCTGTCTCAAAAAAAAAAAAAAAAAAATCAAAAGTCCCTATTCTCATGAAGTTGAGAGTCCAGTGCAGGAAAAGGGAGGGGGACAGACATTAATATAGAGTATGGCACAAGTCATTACAAAGGTGCAATGGTGATAACTACTACAAATGAAAGGTACATGGAGTCCTCAGAGCCTCTAATGGGGGGATTTGATTTGTTTAAGGAAATCAGTGAAGGCTTCTCTCTGAAGAAATGATGTTCTAGCTAGGATCTGAAGGATGAGCAAGTATTACCTAAGTGATGGAGGAAAAGGAGAGCATTCCATGAAGGGTGCCCTGTAGTGGGAAGACGCGAGACACATTGGAGGGACTGTGCAGAGAGTGCAGCTGGAGCTCACAGAGCCAGGCGGCATGAGCAGAGATGAGATTTGAGAGGCAGACAGAGATGGAATCCTACAGGGCTTTGTTGGTCCTGTGAGGATTTGGGTCTTACTCCTGAGCAAACTGATGTAATTTGAATGTTTTAAGCAGATGAGTTACATTTTCAGATTGATGTTTGTGGTAGTCACTGTGATGACCGTGAGGAAAACAGACTAGAAGAGGGAGAGTGGAGCATTTGGAAGGCTATGACAGCAATCCAGGCATAAAATTATCAGAGGCCGGGATTAGAGAAGTCTCAAAGGAGCTCGAGAATAAGTAAATAGATTTGAGAGGTAATTAGGCAGGTCTTAAAGCTACAATATGCTGCATATTAGGGTAAGGGAGAAGAAGGTAACATGATTTCCAGGTCTCTGGCTTGTGTACTTGGAAAGATAATGGGGCCAGTATTGAGACAAAAATCCCAGAAAAGGAGCAGCTTAGGACACGTTAAGTGTGATGCTTTGAGATACCCAAGAAGAAAAGATGAGAAGGAAGACATAGCAGCCTAGTGCTCAGAGAAGGCTCCAGCCTGGAGCTATTATTTGTGCACAGAGGTGGTCATTACAGCCATGGATACAGGGAAGACTACCTGGAGGGGAGATAAAGGGACTTACAACTCAGCCTTGAGGAAGTCCAGCATTTAATTCCTGAGCAGAGGAGAGACAGCCTGTAAACAGACTGAGAAGGATCAGCCAGAGAGAGGTGGGGGAAAGCCAAAAGACTCCTGTCCCAAAAGCTAAGAATGAAGGTGTGGTCCACTGTGTCAAAGGCTACTGAAAGGTCAATGAAGACAGGCACCAGAATGTCTATAGGATTTACACAGAGGTCATTGGTGATCTTAGAGATAGCTGGTTAGGTGGAGTGACCCTAGCCCACTTGAAGCTTCCCAACATTACCTCAAGCATCCCAAATGTCCAATCATCCATGTCTGGTAGTAAAGAGAACAATAAAAGATTGAGACTTGTTGCTTCAGCTTCAAACATATTCATGTTGTTCCAGTTGAAAGCAATCCCTAGCCCTATTCCCTCCCACATCCTTTCCTTTCCCAGTGGAGCCTACCTTGCCCAGGATGCTCAGTTCATTGTCTGGTCCAGATTCTGATAGGGGCCTCTGATTCTGCAGGCTCCTGACAATGTCTACAAGATGTTCCACCAGCTCTGTCAGCTCCTGACCAACTTCTGTGATGCTCTTCTCTACTGCCACCTTTAAAACAGCAAAGTTCAGGTCCTGGGTTCTATAAAACTGGACCCAGGAACCACCACTAGACAGAGGGAGTCATAAATACTGTAGTAATGACATAAAAACAGACATACAGACCAATGGAATAGAACAGAGTACCCAGAAATAAACTCTCACATATACAGTTAAATGATTTTTGACAAAGGTGCCAAGACCATTCAACGGGGAAAGGACAGTTTTTTCAACAAATTGTACTGTGAAAATTGGATATATCTATATGCAAAAGAATATGGTTGGACCCTTACGTAACATCATATACGAAAACTAACTCAAAATGGATCAAAGACCTAAATGTAAGACCTAAAATAATACAAGTCTTAGAAAAAAAATAGGGCAAAATTTATGACATTGGATTTGGCAATGATTTATTGTACATGACACTAAAAGCACACACAATGAAAGAAAAAAGGAGGCTGGGTGCGGTGGCTCACGCCGGTAATCCCAGCACTTTGGGAGGCCGAGGTGGGTAGATAACGAGGTCAGGAGATCGAGACCATCCTGGCTAACACGGTGAAACCCGTCTCTACTAAAAATACAAAACACTAGCCGGGCGTGGTGGCGGGCTCCTGTAGTCCCAGCTACTCAGGAGGCTGAGGCAGGAGAATGGTGTGAACCCGGAAGGCGGAGCTTTCAGTGAGCTGAGATGGAGCCGCTGCACTCTAGCCTGGGAGACAACAAGGCTCCGTCTCAAAAAAAAAAAGAAAGAAAAAAAGAGACAAACTGGACTGCATGAAATGTTTAAACATTTGTGCATCAAAAGACACTAACAAAAGAGTAAAAAGGCAATCCACAAAATGGAGAAAATATTTGCAAATCATACATCTGATAAGGCATTAATACCGAGAATATACAGAGAATTTCTAAAACCAACAATGAAAACATATCACTGCCGCTTGCTTGGTTGGTAAAACAAACAAACAAGCAAAAACCCATAAACAACTGAATTTTGAAATGGGCAAAGAACTTGAATAGACATTTCTCCAAAGAAGATATACAAATCACCAATAAGCACATGAATAGACACTCAAGATCACTAATCAGTAGGGAAATGCAAATCAAAACATACAGTGAGATACCACTTCACACTCATTAGGTTGGCTACTATAAAAAAAAAAAAAAAAAAAAAACAAAACAGAAAATAACAAATGTTGATGGTGTGGGAAGATTGGAACCCTCTGCACTGTTGGTGGGAATGATATATGGTACAGCCACTATGGAAGACAGAATGGTGGTTGCTCAAAATATTAAAAATAGGCTGGGTGCAGTAGCTCATGGCTGTAATCCCAGCACTTTGGGAGGCTGAGGCGGGTGGATCACCTGAGGTCAAGAGTTCAAGCTCATCCTGGCCAACTTAGTGAAACCCCATCTCTACTAAAAATACAAAAATTAGCCAGGCGTGGTGGTGGGCATCTGTAATCCCAGCTACTTGGGAGGCTGAAGCAAGAAAATCGCTTGAACCCAGGAGATGGAGGTTGTAGTGAGCCGAGTTCATGCCACTGCACTCAGGACTGCGTGACAGAGCCATCTCAAAAATACATATACATATATATATATATTTTTATTATTATTATTTATATATATATTTTCTAGGTCACATTAAGTGTGATGCTTTGAGATACCGAAGAAGAAAAGATGAGAAGGAAGACATAGCAGCCTAGTGCTCAGAGAAGGCTCTAGCCTGGAGCTATTATTTGTGCATAGAGATGGTCATTAAAGCCATGGATACAGGGAAGACTACCTGGAGGGGAGATAAAGGGACTTACAACTCAGCCTTGAGGAAGTCCAGCATTTAATTCCTGAGCAGAGGAGAGACAGCCTGTAAACTGAGAAGGATCAGCCAGAGAGAGGTGGGGGAAAGCCAAAAGACTCCTGTCCCAAAAGCTAAGAATGAAGGTGTGGTCCACTGTGTCAAAGGCTACTGAAAGGTCAATGAAGACAGGCACCAGAATGTCCATAGGATTTACATAGAGTTTACATAGAGGTCACTGGTGATCTTAGAGATAGCTGGCTAGGTGGAATGATCCTATATATAGTGATCCCATATATATATATATATATATATATATATATATAAGAATTACCATACGATTTAGCAATTCAACTTCTGGATATATAAGAATTGAAAACAGGATCTCAAAGAGCTTCATAAACTGATGTCCATAGCAGCATTATTCCCACTAGCTAAAACATGGAAGCAACCCAAGTGTCTGCAGACAAATGAATAAGCAAAAAGTGGCATACACGTACAATAGAATATTACTCAGCCTTAAAAAGGAAGGGAACTCTGACATATGCTACAACATAAATAACCCTCGAAGACATTATGCTAAGTGAAATAAGCCAGTCACAAAAACACAGATACTGTATGATTCAACTTATATGAGGTATTTAGAGTAGTACAAATCAGAGACAGAAATTAGAATGATGGTTGCCACAGGCTGGGGGAAGAGGAAATGGAGAATTTTAATGTGCTCCTAGAATTCCACTTTTGCAAGATGAAAAGAGTTATGGTACCCTGAAGAGCCAGTCATGTTAATTTAACATTTTTTAGTTATGGAAATGATGGTAGTGATGGTTTCACAACATTATGAATGCATTTCATATCACCCAACTGTATACTTAAAAATGGTTTAGGGCCAGAGAGAAGTGGGGGAAAGCCAGGAGACTTAAGGGTGGAAAGAGGCAGAGCAAGATAGCCAAATAGAAGGCTCCATTGAGCATCCCTCCCACAAGAACACCAAATTTAACAACTACACAAAAAAGCACCTTCATAAGAACCAGAAATCAGGGGTACTCACAGTACCTGGTTTTAACTTTACATATAGAAAGAGGCACTGAAGAGGGTAGGAAAAACAGTCTTGAATTACCAATGCCATCCATATCCCATGTGGCAGGGGCAACACGGCACAGAGAATCTGTGCACTCGGGAAAGGGAGAGCATGGTGATAAAGAGAATAGAGAGACTTTGCCTTGTCACATCACAAAGCAAAACTGGGCTGAACTCCGCTGACGCCTACCCACAGCGGGAGCATTTAGATCAGTCCTAGCCAGAGAGGAATCAAATCACCCACTCCAGTGACTGGAACCTGAGTTCTGGCAAGCTTCTCCACTGTCGGCTGAAGTGCTCTGGGGCTCTAAATAAACTTGAATGGCAGGCTAGGCCACAAGGACTGCAACTCCTAGGCAAGTCCCTAGTGTTGAGATGGGTCTCTGGACCTGCCCAGAGCCTGGGTGAATGTGCCACCATGAAGGGAAGGACACAAGCCTGGCTGGCTTTGCCATCTGCTGATTATAGAGCCCTAGGTCCTTAAGTGAATATAGGTGGTAGCCAGATAGTGGTTACAAAGGGGATTGGGTGAGACACAGTGCTGTGCTGGCTTTAGGTCTGACCCCGTGCAGTCCTAGTGGTCATGGCCACAAGGTGCTTGCGTCAGCCCACCTCCAGCTCCAGGCAGCTTAGCACACACACACACTGTTGTGGAGAAGTACGAGAAGAGAACAAGAATCTCTGCCTGGTAATCCAGAGAATTCTTCTGGATCTTATACAAGACCACCAAGGTGGCACCTCTAGTAGTCTGCAAGAGTCACAGCTTTACTGGGCTTGGGGTGCCCCCTAATGCAGATACAGATCACAACACTGAAGTCCTTTCAAATACCTGGAAAGCCTTCCCAAGAAGGACAGGTACAAACAAGCCCAGACTGTGAAGACTACAATAAATAACTAACTCTTCAATGCCCAGGCACTGACAAACATCCACAAGCATCAAGACCATTCAGGAAAACATGACCCCACCGAACTAAGTCAGTCACCAAGAACCAATTTGGGAGAAACAGAGATATGTGACCTTTCAGACAGATAATTCAAAATAGCTGTTTTAAGAAAACTCGAAGAATTTCAAGATAACAGAGAAGGAATTCAGAATTCTATCAGATAAATTTTAAATAATTGAAATAATTAAAAAGAATCAAGCAGAAATTCTGGAATCCGGAAATGCAACTGACATACTGAAGAATGCATCAGAGTCTGCATCAATAGCAAAATTGATCAAGTATTAGAAAGAATTAGTGAGCTTGAATTCAGGCTATTTGAAAATACACAGTAAGGGCTGGCGCAGTGGCTCACACCTGTAATCCCAGCACTTTGGGAGGCCAAGGCAGGCGGATCACAAGGTCAGGAGATCGAGACCACAGTGAAACCCCGTCTCTACTAAAAATACAAAAAATTAGCTGGGCGCAGTGGCAGGTGCCTGTAGTCCCAGCTACTCAGGAGGCTGAGGCAGGAGAATGGCATGAAACCAGGAGGCGGAGCTTGCAGTGAGCCGAGATTGCGCCACTGCACTCCAGCCTAGGCAACAGAGCAAGACTCCGTCTCAAAAATAAATACATAAATAAAATAAAAATAATAAAAAAAGAAAATACACTGTAAGAGGAGACAAAAGAAACAAGAAAAAAAAAAAAAGAGAATGAAACATGCCTACAAGATCTAGAAAATAGCCTCAAAGGGGCAAATCTAAAAATTATTGGCCTTAAGAGGAGGTAGAGAAAGAAATAGTGGTAGAAAGTTTATTCAAAGAAATAATAGCACAGAACTTCCCAAATCTAGAGAAAGACATCCATATCTACATACAAGAAAGTTATAGAACACCAAGCAGATTCAACCCAAAGAAGACTACATGAAGGCATTTAATAATAAAACTCCCAAAGGTTAAGGATAACGAAAGGGTCCTAAAGCAGCAAGAGAAAATAAATAACATATAATGGAGTTCCAACACATCTGAAGGTAGACCTTTCAGTGGAAACCTTATAGGCCAGGAGAGAGTGGCATGACATGTAAAGTGCTGAAGGAAAAAACTTTTACCCTAGAAAACTATAATTTGTGAAACTAGCTTTGAAACATGAAGGAGAAATACTCTCCCAGACAAACAAAAGCTGAGGGATTTTATCAACACCAGACCTGTCCTACA